GTTTGCCAGTAAATTCATCAGGTCCTGGGTTGTTCTTTGTTCGGAAACTTTTGATTACTGATTTAATCTCCTTATTTGTTATTGGTCTATTCAGATTTTTTATTTCTTCGTGATTCAGTACTGGTAGTTGTTTCTAGGAATTAATCCATTACTTCTAGTTCACCCAATTTGCTGGCATATAATTGTTCATAGTTTCTAATCATGCTTTGTATTGCTATGGTTGTAATGTTTCCTCTTTCATTTATAATTTCATTTATACTTTTCTTCCCACACACATTTTACATTATTAATGTTATAATTTATATTTTATATTGTGTATCTAACAATAAAATATTGTAGTTATAATTATTTAAAAAAAAAAGAAACTTAGAGACACCTTAGTGCAGTTGTAGCTCACCAAAATAAATAAATGGTTTATAATACCATATAGTTAATTTAAAAAACAAACTCCCAACATTTTTCTCCAACTCCTTCTGCCAAGGTCTATATAAAAGTGGCTATTTTATTTTTTTTAAAGATTTTATTTATTTATTTTTTGACAGAGATTACAAGTAGGCAGAGAGGCAGGCAGAGAGAGAGAGGAGGAAGCAGGCTCCCTGCTGAGCAGAGAGCCCGATGTGGGGCTTGATCCCAGGACTCTGAGATCATGACCTGAGCCGAAGGCAGAGGCTTTAACCCACTGAGCCACCCAGGCGCCCCTAAAAGTGGCTATTTTAAAGTAACTTGCATTGCCCTACTATTTTAAAATCATGGTTTGGGATCAGAGTTTGTAAGGCAGTGAATTTCATGTGTTACCTATGATTTATATTTCTGTTCCTCATTAAGCGTGTAAATAACAATGATCATTTCTCCTCATTTGGGTTACTACTCCTGAGGACTTCAGATTCCTGCCCCAAAATAGGGAATTAGAATGGGCTCCTGTTCCTTCTCCAAAACTGACCATGGGAATACTAGAGGCAAAAATGTACATTCCAGGAAGTAACAAACAAAAAAGGAAGAAGGAAAAGAGGGAAGGAAAAGGGAGGGAAAGGGAAGGAAGAAGTAGGAGGAGGAAGAGGAAGAAGTAGAAGGGGGAAGAGGAGGAGGGGGAACAGGGAAGGGAGGGGGAAGAGGGCAAGGAAGGCAGGGACAGGAGGAGGAGGGTTAAATCCTGAGGAAACCTGAAGGGTGTGGGAGCGGGGATAGAGGAAGCAGGGAGGTGGACTTGAGAGGATAGTTTACAGCAAACTCTTCTACTCCCATGTGGAAATTTAGGATGTGGAAACTCAAACACAATTTAGAATGTCCTTTGTTCATGCTGATTAACTGCTTTGTAACTTATCCAGAATGTTTAGCAAAAGCAGCTAACATTCACTTCTATTGCTTACGCTCTGGATATTGAAGATAACAGCCATAGAATAAAGTCACGTTTCCTGAATGTTAGCAGAGTCAAGGAGAATGCAGAAAAAAGAAACAGATTTAAAAATTTTCGCTTAAGTCATTATTATGTTTTTAATGTCTTTAGCCATTAATAATTAATCATTCTTTAGCTGTATTTAGAAAATGTATATTTAAAAATTTTTAAGAAGTGTACCAGAGCTTGCCTGGTAGATTTCACATTCCAGATCAGATCTATTCATTTTTAATAGATAATTAACTTGCCACTGATCAGTATATGGAAAAAATTTCACTACAAAAAATTGCACTACAAATAACCATTTTCATGGGCACTAAACTAGGGTGGCAGTTCAGGATACAGGTTGAAATTTCACTACAAAAAATTTCACTACAAAAAATTTGCAAAACCTTTTTTATGTTTACCAAGGAATATTTGATAAGCATAGACAGCCTTGACAAAAAAATGCATGCACCAGTCCTGTTTTCTCATTTCCTAGTAACCTGCATAGAGCTCTAGCCCTCATCTGGCCTATAGGTTCAGGCATTCATTCTGGACTGCTGCTATCTTAGTGGAGAGCAGCACTGCCTAATATGGTAACCATGTGGCTATTTAAATTAAAATTAATTAAAATTAAAAATTTAGTTTCTCAGTCTCACTAGGGACATTTCAAGGGCTTAATGGCCACATATGGCCAGTTGTAATTATTAGACAGTGCAGATGTAGAACATTTTCACCATTGCAGAAAGTTGCGTTAGTACTCTGATTTTTAGCGATCCCATAAGGAATGGACCAAACTGCACAGATTCTGACGTTTGGTCTGCTTTGTTTTTCTGGCATGGGAAACAAATAACCATTTTCATGGGCACTAAACTAGGGTGGCAGTTCAGGATGCGGGTTGAAAAATCTAAATGTGCAAAGACATTTACCTACATCTAATTCTTCTATTTTCTGACTTTCTCTGGTCATTAATAAATTGTTACCATAGAGCGCCTTTGTTATTTCAAGAAATATGTGACTTCCAATACAACAATGATGGGGTCGGCTAATCTAGAACAGGTAGACAGGGAATTTGGGGTCGTGGGCAGCAAGGATCAGCAACTTCATGGGCGAGCTGAGCCTCAGGTGCTGGGACAGCGTCCATCATGCTTCAGGACAGTGGCTCCTAAGGGTTTCAGAGTCACAGGAAATTCTGATAAAAGACATACCACTACTTACTACTTAATTGTGCACGCCATTTCAGGCACATATGGACCCCTTGAAGTCCCAGTGGTGTCACAAGCAGTATGGAGAAGGGACCAGTATTTTCTTGGGAAAGAGAGTTACTCAGGAACTGTCAGAGCGGGGGTGAGCTGTTACAAGACCTGTGCTCTGTCCGCACACAGGAAGGAAGTCCCGTGCAAAGTCATGGATTGTTTTGTTTTTGTTTCATGGGGGGGGGTGTGTGTGGAGAGGTACAGCCCTGCTTCCTTCAACATTCAAGGACCCTTCCTTAGGTATGGTGTCCTAAAGAAGTCCTCTATGGCTACCAAGTACTAGATTGTCCCCACAGCACATGCACCAAGGAATAAATATGAATATATTGAGAGACTGCTTACAAGCCTATCCTTAATAATTTTAACATCTTCATTTTAATATTAGAGTAATACAAATGAAATGTGGTTGGCAGAAGCCTACAGGTGATAGGATAAGACGTTTCTTTATACGTATGCTATTATTCTACCACTGACAGCAAATAAAGTCCTTCCTTTTTATTCAGACTTTTTAGCTTGCTGAATCGGTACTGTCATCAATAGTAACTTAAAAGAATTAATACAGCTATAAAAAGGAAAAGTAGTTTATATCCCTTCTGATTGTTGGATTATCAAAGATAAAGCAAAATGAATGATTCATCCTATGTTTTCATTCTTTTCAAGATGAATTTTTTTCCTAGTCTCTCAACAACTCTAAAAGTTACTCATAAGACTATTTGAGCAGGTCAAAATAAATCTATAAAGTTTTTATTGATATAATTTTCATGGACTATTATTGCTTAAACCACCAACATCTACTAACTTTTTTAAAAAAGAATTACAGCATATCCTTTTACTCCAAAGGACTGGGATTTTAAAGAACTTCCACTGTGTTGCCCTGTGGAGCCAGTATACAGACAAATAAACACAAAATCCATGTACCTAATCAAACGTAAACAAACACAAAAATCACAGTAAAATTTTGGGAATATATACGTACATTAAGACTAAAATATCTGAATGACTCATACTTGCTGTAACTTTTTCCTCATTGTATGCACATTGTCAGATAACAAATACACATTTTAATAGAAATGATTAAAAGCAAGATAGTGCAGTCCTTCATCCTCCTAAAAACATTATGACAAAATGTAATAAAAGGAACACCTTCAGATTTCTATTACCAAGTAGTCTGTAGCAATTCTACGTTCGATAACTGAATACGTTATGGCTACTCAAGGTTTGGAAATGTTTGATAATTCTGTGAAAACATTTAAAGACATACTGGAAATAATGCAAACAATTCTTAGTTGTTCCATAAAGGAAGGAAAAGGTCAATTTTGATGAACTTAAGTGTTTACATCGGTGAATTCTTTACTTTGGCCATTTTATTTTATTTAGTAATGTGAATTTACACAAAGTACAAACAACTCCTACCTTCACCTTCAGACGCTACTGTAGGACTTTTTCGTTAAATGGGTCAATTGCATCAGTGAGATGGTATTTGGCAAGCACCTCTTGTGTTCCTCACCCTGTTGTGACACGCACATGTGCCGCTCTGTCTTTAGGCAGAGAAGCCCTTTTAGCTGATAAATATCACCCAAAGCAAGGTCCTTGATAACAAAAAATAATTAAATAGCAGAAGCCGGTTACAGATCAGCATTGGTTTTTTCAAATTAAATGAAAAAGCCTTCTCCGGTTAAGAGACTGGCAAGTTTTTACAAATACCATCGGTGAGCCTTTTAGAAAGAAACACAGCCGCATTAGAATGGAGTCATTAGGCAATACATTTATTTTGAAGCCAATTAACCTTTTGTCAGGAAAATGTCGGCGCCGTAATGGTTTCAGCGTGGAGGTCAGCCTCTAACCGGGCACGTGTGACAGCCACCGCCGCTGACACGTGCCACAGACAGACAGAGAGTGCAACCACGAGAGGCAACCTGCTTTTGTATTCCACTCTGCATTGCCAGGGAGGGAACAATCTTGACCCGTCCATTTAGGTAATTAAAGCTTCCATTTGGAAGTGTCCCGCAGGAAGGTGAAATTTGGGGGAGATAAATGGCTGTTGCTCTCCGTATTCAGGAACCAGTTCCATCATTTGATGGACTGCCTGAAACAGGCACCACTGCCAGGTTCTCATAAAAATAGAGATGAATTGGGCAGCAGACGATTCTCGGAGGCAAAGCAACTCTGTCATTTTCTTTTTTGCAGGCTGTAATTTAATTGTTAGTCAAGCTGGACAGCCGACACAGGGGGTTTTCTCTAAGAGCTTGCCCACCACCTTCCATTCGCCGAGAAATCACTCCGGTTTATCTACTTGGCCAAGTCTGTTTGGCATTGGGAGATGTCACTCCAGCGGCCCAGCTGGTGCTCCAGGCTGTGCCCTGACTTACCTTCCACGCTATTTTGTTTCCTTTCGAATCATGCTCAAGGGCAATTGGGAAGTCTCCTCGCTCATAAAATTTTCGAAACGCTGTGGGCTTGGTTGGTCTTTCTTTAAATGCTCCTGCAGCTGGAGGGCCTCTCACCTTCAAAGAAAAAAAAAAAAAAAGAAAAGAAATCAGGTCTTGAAAAATAACCAAAAATGCACAGTAAAAAGACTTTTCTTAAGTTTTAGTTTATATGAAATGTTCTGGAAGATAAAAACCAAATTGTTTAATGATGCACAACAGTAACTTCACTAATACAACATTAAAAGAAGATAATTATTTTATAACCATTAAGGGTTTACTTTATTTCAAGCTACTTTAGATAGCATTCTTAGAAAAAGTCACTTTAAAAATATCACATGATAAGGAAAAAAAGTCTAAACTTTTGTTTAAGTAAAATATTTAATAGAGGACTTTAAGTTCAGAATGTTAAAACTTTTAACATTTTTAATAATTGCTAATTCTAACCTCAGGTCTGATATACTTTGTGGAATACTGAAGGAATAGATTTAAAATACATCCTTTAGGGGCACCCGGACGGCACGGTCGTTTAAGCATCTGATTCTTGATTTCGGCTCAGGTTGTGATCTCAGGGTTATGGGATTGAACCCCACGTCAGGCTCTGCTCAGCACCCAATCTGCTAGGGGTCCTCTCTCTCCCTCTGCACCCTCCCCCTGCTCGCACTCTCTAAAACAATTATTAAAAAATAGAATATGTCCTTTAAGTCTTTCTATATACATAAAATGTAAAAAATGTTCTGTTGTGAATATTAACAAAATATAAAAAAGTTACATAAAATTAAGCCATAACAAATAAGATAATTTAAAAAGAAAATGTGCAAGTATAGCACACCTTCGATATTATGAATTTATGAGAAAGTACCATTAGATTACATGAGATTCTGCCACCCTCAACTGAGATTTTTATCAAAGAAGAAACATTTCTTTTTTTTTTTTTAAGATTTTATTTATTTATTTGAGAGAGAGAGACTGAGCATAAGCAGAGCAGGAGGGGCAGAGAGGGAGGGAGAGAGAATCTCAAGCAGATCCCCACCGAGCAGGGAGCCTGACACGGGCTCAATCCCAGGACCCCAGGGTCATGACCTGAGCTGAAAGCAGACCCTTAACTGAGTCACCCAAGCACCCCAAAGAAGAAACATTTTATATTGAGTTATTCATTTTAAGAATCTTTTAAATCTGCATTGTTTATTAATTCATTAGGTTACAAAATTGAAAGTGATAGTGAACTATTTTGAAAATTATAGACCACTGGTTACCTTTCTCTGAAAAAAAAGTAAATACTAGATATTTACTAGTTTAATAAAAACAGATTATCTTGTTAATTCTTAATATGGACAAAATAGCAAATAAGTTATGTAATATCTTAGTATTTTAAGTTACTTGATATCATGTTAATTTTTAATATCCATGTAAAAAATTTGAATTTCAATAAAGAAATATGTAAAATACATCTAGTATAACAAATATGATAAATACATTTTATCAGCACACATAGAAAAGCTAATACTAAGAACTGAGTGGGATATTAAAATATTGAGATGATTAAATATTAAGCTAGAGGTGAATAGTGAGGTAACACAAATTATTAGAGTTAATTTTTTAATTTTTTAATTTTTTTTAGAGAGAGAGAGACCACATATGCCCACACTCATGCAAGGTTGTGGGGAGGGGCAAAGGGAGAGAAGGAGAGAGAGAATCTCAAGCCGACTCCCTGCTGAGCCCTGAGTCCCACGAATGGCTCTATCTCTAGTCTAGATAGACACTATCTAGAATATGACCTGAGCCGAAATCAGAAGTTGGACACTTAACTGACTGAGCCACCCATGTGCCCCTGAGTTTAGAATTTCCTTCACTACATAGAACATTATTCCCAGTATATGTAATCACATAATTATTACATAATCAATTATATAATATTACATATTATGTAATTACATAAATAATTGATGTGATACTGGGTAGTGGGGAAGCAAGACTGGCTCTTACTTACAAAATATTTGAAACTTGTTCCGATATTAGAATTATTAGCCACCATTTTCAGACAAATTCATTCGATTGTTAAGTAACCATATGTGTATGATAACTACTTTGTGCGGAGCTCTGAGCCGGATGTTATATATACATTCCCGTCTACATCAGTATGACAGAAAATACAGAGATGGCACTCCAGGACTTTAGCAACTTATGGAGTGGTAAATTTTGAAACACATTTTTGGAAATTGATAAAGAATTGACAACTTTCTATTTTGCCAACAAGTTATATACAAAAAAAAAAAATTACAATCTACCATTGCATCACCATTTTAACAAAATGGTGTTATACATAATCCAAAAATGTAGACCACCCAAAAAGTGGTGTACAAGAAAGAAAAGAAAACTTAGCCAAATTAAACCAGCATCATACATACTTACAGAAAGTTACAGAGAATACGTGTATTCTCTGTAGAATGTGTATTCTACAGAGTAGAATGTGTACTACATTCTAGTGTACAGAATGTAGTGTATACATGTATGTATATTGTGTATATACATATATACACAATATATGTGTATACGTGTATGTATATTGTATTACTGTGCAATACTGATCGCTAGTCAGTAGATACCTCATTTTTGGTGTTTTTTAAAAAAATAAATATTAAATAAAGAAAATATATATGTATAAATATATGTATAGATAATATACATACATACATACATATAACTATATAATGAAATACTCAGCCATAAAAAAAGAATGAAATCTTGCCTTTTGTGACAAGATGGATGAAGCTTGAAGGCATTATGCTAAGTGAATAAGTAAATGAGACAAAAAGACAAGTACTATGTGATCTCACTTATATGAGAAATCTAAAAGAACTGAACTCACAGAAACAGAGATCAGATTGGTGGTTGCCAGGGTCTAGAGGGTAAGGCTGACATCTACTGATCGTCTTTTTTCATTTGCTTTTTGATCTTCCTGATTCTTGTGTGATGACTGATTTTCTGTTGAAACCTGGACATTGGTGATTGTGAGACTCAGACCTTCTACCTTCTGTTTTAGCTGGTTTATTCCAATATGTGTCTGGCAGAGATGTGGGGAAGGGTTACGAGCACGTTATAGTCAGGCTGGGATTGAAATCCTGGAGGCCCACCTGGCCTCTGTTGACTCCGCAGAGGGAGTTTCTCATGGATCATGGGTGAAAGTGGGGGCTTCAATACCACTAGGCCTCCAGTGACACCTCCTGGACAGGTTGGAGAAGGAGCACGCCTTGACTGCTTTCCACAGGGACACCACGGAAGCGGGTGGCCTCATTACTGCTGGGCAATAATAACATTCCTGTCCCTCAAGGAGGCATTCTCTGAGGGCTCCCCAACAGAAAGGCATAAGAGCTTAGCACAGCTGGCTAGGGTAAGAGTCCAAGCTATCCCCACTGTGGGTGCTGAGGATCTCTTTGCTGGTCCAGTAAGGATGAAAGGCTCAATTCCTCATTCAAAACATTCAGCTACAACCATCATTTAGATCTTTTATCTGCTTATCATCTGCTAACCATCCTTTCCATTCTTCTAGATGCCAAGTTATTATTTATGCTTTGACAGCAAGTCTCCCATTTGTTTAACTGACCAAAATTTTGCTAGAGAGTATCCATCTTTTTCCCTTACTTTGTATTTATCTTAAAATCAATTTCTCTTTTTCCTTTTGTCTCCTATTCTAAATATATTCCATTCTTTCTGATTCTGAATTCAAAATTCTAATCATCCAAACTTTTCAAAGAATAAACATATTTCTCTCTAAGAAACGTAAGGGGCTTTTTATAAACAGTTTATAGATCATGTATACTTCCTCTTTCTTCCCATAAATTTTCATGGACTCGCTACAGAAATGATTCCATGCCTACAGTTCCATGGAAAGTCTTCACTTAGTTTGCTATGTAATCACCCAACAGTGTGGAAATTCTTTCTTCAGTGTTTGTTAACCTCTGTTCTTATATTTCTGCCATTTGCTCACTTAAAAACACTATTTTTTGGATTCTCCTATAGACACATTACAAATTAACTCCCGGCATCTCAAATCTGAATCTGAAATTTGACTAGTCAAGCCTGCAGTGCAACACGGGCATTACCTAATTGTACGCAGCTGCTCTGTCACTGCTCCTGGATAATATTTTTTCTGTTCCAAATACATATATACCTACTTAAGCCTAATAGAAGGCTAAAATATTTTTAATATTCTACACATGATCCATTCTAACATTCCAAGTGATTCTAGAAGTATGTACATGAAAAATCAAGTAAATAACAATCTCTGGAAAGGTAATTACTACTGGAAATCACACAGATGGACATAGCCTGACTAAACAAAGTTAAAAATTAGCAAAATATTGTTAAGAATCCTTGTGTACATCCCATATTTATCAAAGGACTACTGTACATTTTACTTAATGTCTTAAGAATTTTACCCCAACTCATTATAAATAATATAGAACAAATAAGGAACCATAAATCAAACTAGATTTGTGGGAAAATGCAATTACAGTTTGTCTGAATGGTGGGGGCTGTCCATAAACCAATTAGGAAGAATGGGTGTTGCAGCAGAATGCTTTTAATAAAATCTAATGCACTTGGGAACCAAGATATTGAATGCACTTTGAAGTGACTGTAAATGACAGAGTACTTTATATGCTTACACTTATTGAATGCTGGAATGGATTTAGGACATAGACCACAGGCTCTACGTACGGTCACAAAAACTAATAATAATTAGTAGGAAAGAATTTTAAGGTTCTCTAAAATTCTTCTTATAGTTGAAAGTTTTCTTTTCAACAGTTTTATTTTTTAGCATAAACTGAAGCTGCTTTAAAAAAAAATCTTTACTTCAAGTGGGAAATCTATACTGTGTTATTCTACTTGTCTGTTTAGCCATCTTACATTGAAACAATAAGAAGCAACGATATTAATTTCTTATCTTCATCAGCTTAAAAAAAATTTATTTATCATTTATTTGAGAGAAAGAGCACCGCGAGAGAGCACAAGCAGGGGGGTGTCAGAGGGGGAGGGAGAAGGGAGCAGGGAGCTCTCTGAGTTTGATCCCAGGACCC